ATGCATCCGTTTTCTGTGGTGCCATTTATTTTAAAAGGCACTCCAATACACAATGAAGCTCCAGTGCAGCGAATATGTACACCACTACCATGTGTTGTGGTGCAGAGCATTGTCAAAAATGGTGCATGCGGGCTATACTGCTGCCAGTGACCGAAGGGGAAGATTTGCTCCTTTTCTAGTGTAGTCAAAAGCCTGGAATGCTGCTTGCTGCACGTGTTGTCACTTTCTCCCTAGTGTGTGCTCCATAGGAATATATACCAGAAGGGAAGTGAGAAGTGTTGGTGGGGGAAATTGCCTCACTTGGGCTTTGGATATCCATAAAGATCCAGAATCTAGCACTGTCAGAACCAAAAACAATTGTATATAGATGATAAAATAACAAATATAAAACGGTTAACCAAAATAAAATGATTTCAAACCTATTTTAAGTTTCCCCAACTTTCTGTGTCCAGGCCTGCTCATCCGTCCCTGTACAAATGCAAACACTTGGATGTGCAGTGACACACATACAGCTGCAGCCTGTGTGTGATTTGTAATGGCGGCTGTATACACACCTGCCACTCCTGGCCACATAAACACACCTTCCACACTATGGTCCTTTGTGCCCATGTGAATAAGGCCTAGATACCAGTGAATACTCTCATACAGTTGCAAGAAAAAGTATGTGAACCCCTTGAGATTACGTGGAGTTTTGCATGAATTGAGCATAAAATGTGCTCTGAACGTCATCTAAGTCACAATAGAAGAACACAGTCTGCTGAACATAATACTACACAAACATTAGATGTTGCCATGGTTTAATTGCACATAACATGTAAACATTCACAGTGCAGGGAGGACAAAGTATGTGAACCTTTGGACTTAACTGGTTGACCCTCCTTTGGCAGCAATAACCTCAACCAAACGTTTCCTGTAGTTGCAGATCAGACCTGCACAACGATCTGGAGTAATTTTGGACCACTTCTCTTCACAAAACTGTTTCAGTGTAGCAATATTCTTGGGATGTCTGGTGTGAATCGTTCTCTTAAGGTCATGCCACAGCATTTCAATCAGGTTGAGGTCAGGACTCTGACTGGGCCACTCCAGAAGGCGTATTCTGTGCTGTTGCAGCCATTGTTTTGTTGAATTACTTGTATGCTTTGGGTCATTGTCCTGTTGCATCACCCATCCTCTGCGGAGCTTCAGTTGGCGGACAGATGGTCGTATGTTTTTCCTGCAAAATGTCTTGATAAACTCTGGAATTCATTTTCCCATCAATGACAACAATCCGTCTAGGCCCTGAGGCAGCAAAGCAGCCCCAAACCATGATGCTCCCTCCGCCATGTTTTACAGTGGGGATGAGGTTTTGATGTTGGTGTGCTGTGCCTTTTTTTTCTCCACACATAGTGTTGTGTGTTCTTCCCAAACAACTCAATCTTGGTTTCATCTGTCCACAGTATATTTTGCCAGTAGTGCTGTGGAACATCCAGGTGCTCTTTTGCAAACTTCAAACGTGCTGCAATATTCTTTTTGGACAGCAATGGCTTCCTCCGTGGTGTCCTCCCATGTACTCCATTCTTGTTTAATGTTTTCCTTATTGTAGATGCGTCAACAAAAATGTTAGCATGTGCCAGAGATTTCTGTAGGTCTTTAGCTGACACTCTGGGATTCTTCTTTACCTCATGCAGCATTCTGCGCTGTGCTCTTGCAGTCATTTTTACAGGACGACCCACGCCTAGGGAGAGTAGCAACAGTGCTAAACTTTCTCCATTTGTAGACAGTCTGTCTTACCCATGGACACATGAACATCAAGGCTTTTGGAGATACTTTTGTACCCCTTTCCAGCTTCATGCAAGTCAACAATTCTTGATCGTAGGTCTTCTGAGAGCTCTTTTCTGCGAGGCACGGTTCACATCAGACAGTGCTTCTTGAAACCAGTAAACCCAAAACAGGTGTGTGTTTTTTTAAGGGCAGGACAGCTGTCAGCAACACATCCAATATCATCACACTGATTGGAGTCAAGGTTGGCTCACTCCTGGCTCCAATTAGCTCTGGGAGAAGTCCTTAAGCTAGGGCCTCACATACTTTTTCCTCCCTGCACTGTGAATGTTTACATGTTATGTGCAATTAAACCATGGCAACATCTAATGTTTGTGTAGTATTATGTTCAGCAGACTGTGTTCTTCTATTGTTGTGACTTAGATGACGTTCAGAGCACATTTTATGCCCAATTCATGCAAAACTCCACGTAATCCCAAGGGGTTCACATACTTTTTTTCTTGCAACTGTATGACATGTTCTCTAGCCCTGGCACAAAATCTTTGAAGTGTATTATGCAATGCCATGACAAGGTCAGAGAGATCATCTGTTTTGGTACATTATACCGCGTCTCTCGCTAATAGTAGGGAAGATGTACACAAAGGTCTGATGTCCCTTAGATACAACAGTTGTTACAATGTTCAATCCAGAAATACTGATTGAATTGCCTGAGTACGGTAATAAAGAGAGTCCTGAAATTATAGTCTGCTGAGGGTACTTGAAGATTGGAGCTGAGCAACACTGCACTGAAAAAACCGCAGTCCTACTTTTAATGCTCTAATAATGCAACCCATTTATTTCCATTAAAAAAAAAGGAATGCCCTTGAATGAATACATGTATGATTACAAAAACCTTTTCTGCAGCTCTTCAAATTAGCAGAAGGCAGAGAATTTAAATGTGAAAAACACCGAGGAGTGGATGGGAAGCTCTGACAGATCTCTATGAATATTCACTCAAAGCTCTGATCCCATTGATTGAGAAGCGCAGTTCACTAGATTGGCCATTCTCAGCTGCTGATAGTATAAGGCTGTCATGTCTTATGAAAAGACTGTTCGTGAACTGATTTTTTTGCATTATAGATTTGTTGAAGACTTGAGCTTCTCCTTCTGACAGGCATATCCATTAAAAATATGCTGCTGTATACCCACTCTCCTTTTTCATGTTACCATTACATTTGGTATAAATGATCTAGCATGCATGTAAATATGTTTTCCTACATTTTTTTTTTTAGTGGCTAAAAATGGGTTTTCTATGTGGTCACAAGTGGTTGTACATGTGCTTAGGTAGCTTAGCTGTGTGCGGTGCTGGCAAGCACAAACTACTGTATGTACAAGGGGTGTCCAAGTCAAACTGGGACTTTATATAAGAAAAGAACAAATTTCAAGGAGTGGAAACTGCATTTATTTTTTTACATACTCCTCTGCTACATTTATACACTTATCCCGGTGTTTCACTAATGTCCGGAAAGCTTCGGCATAGAAGGATTTGTCAGTGCGCCTGAACCATCCTAGGACAGCCTGCATTACTTCATCATCAGTGCTAAAATGCTGACATCCGAGGAACTCTTTTAGGGGTCCAAACATGTGGAAATCACTCGGAGCAAGGGCCGGGCTGTACGGGGGATGTGGCTATACCTCCCAGCTGAGTTGCTGTAATGTGTACATAGTGCAATGAGCAGTATAATCTCATGCATTGTCCTGGAGAAATAGGACGCACTTTGAGATCAAACCAGGCAGTTTTTTCAAGATGCGCAAGCACATTACTTCCATGATGGTCATAAGCGGAAAACTGTCTTTGTACCCAGTTTGCACTAACTTTTCGAAAATGCAAATATTCGTGAGTGATTGTGTTCACTGTTCCCAAAGAAAGATTTGTCTTGTGCAGTTTCACAACAGATTATGCATCAATTATCTAGGATCAGGCATTCCATGCGCTGAATGTTCATAGGAATGACTGCTGTGGACTGGGAGCCACCATGGCCAGGATTGTCACAGACGGACCCACAGCCATCTTTGAAACGTTTACACCATTCAATTGTCTTACCGCGGCTGAGCATCTCATCACCATACTATGCTTGAAGTCTTCTGTAGATATCTGCGGGTTTTAAGCCTTCGTGTACAAGAAACTCCATCACCACACGCTGTTCCATACATGCATTAACACTGTTGTCTGCCATCTTGATTTACAGTCTCTTGACTGGCCTGCAACATGTGCGCCACCCATCAGTAATAGGACACATTTGCGACTTACTAATGTGTGTAGTACTGCCATGCCAGCATCCTTTTTATACCTCCTGTAAAATTAAAAGTCCCGGTTTGACTTAATGTCCTTAGAAGATTGCATTGGAATTGGTACTAAGGCCCAATTCAAGACAGACCTTTCTTTTTTTTTTATTTATTTGTTTAAGTTTTCCTTTTAGTGGGGAAAGTTTAGAAATTCTGTCAGGTTTAGAAATGTCACTTTCTATTTCTTAAGGTGGTGCCAGAGCAGGAAGTGAAGGTGAATATCCCCAGTAAGGACACAAACCATAATCTGAGGTTCTTACCCTTCCCGACTGAACTAAGACTGTTTTTTTTTGTTTTTTTGGGGGGGGGGGGGTTAATGTATTCTTTTGTGACTTGGGGTAGGAAAGCAAAGAGATTTTATCCCCAGCACAGGTAGACTGTAATAAAACTGTCAATTCTAATCCTGCTTTGATCCAACTACAGCTGTGTTCAAATAAAAGTAGACAGCAATTAATAATTTTTTTTCAAGTTTAGAGGTGATGATTTCCATTTTTTTTAAAAACATTTACTACAGGATGTACCCATAACACTGTTTTTTAGGGCGCAACGGTAGCAGTTATTGCTTTTGTAACTCTAACTGTATCTTTCCACGACCCCATATGAGGAGAGGGCAGCCCCATCTCTGGCTTATTCAGTGTGTGTGTGTGTGTGTGTGTGTTTATTTTTTAACAGCAAACTTAAGGGTGGCCTGGTAAATGCATAAAAAGGAGCTGCATTTAATAAATATTATACTTTTTTTTTCCTATACGTATATATGTTTCACCAGACAGGAAGTGATTAAAACTGAGCAGCAATTGAGACATCAATAAAAGCTGATGGGGTTCTATCTAGCCTTCTCCTCCCTTAGCTAAAATGTTTGCTTTTCAAGCTTTACTTTCTGAAACAGGAAATGTCTATAAAAGAGTCCCAGACAGTAGTAAAAACCTAACAGGGGTTCCATTCCTTCCCAACTCTATCCAAAATTAAAAAAGTTTGGACTGGATGTATAAATTAATGCACACAAAATTCCAAAGATATGTATTTTGTTTAAAATATTAACATGACTGGTTGCAAAAGTTCCTTAATTCATGATAATTCAGATACACACAGAATGGTATTTTGCACATGCTGGACCGAAATAAGAGGATTAAGCCACGACCGGAGAGGTTCCAGAACTGCAAGGACTATTTTGACCTAGTGATCACCTGCGAGGAGAGAGTTTATGATCAAGTAGTTGAAGGTAAGAATGTTTTTTCTTAGATATTGCATGCAAAGAAAGGCTCGAAAGCTAGCCATATAAGGTTCAACTCTCGGCCGGTTCGGCAGGGACTGGCTGTGATTCGAACCATCTATGGCCAGGCTGATTGCACTCAATTCAGTTATTGCACGACTTTGGTACAACCAGCATATCGGATTTTTCATGCGATTATTGCCAGCGGCTATAGCCTCTAGCAATAATCACTGTGTTCTCCTTGCAGGGCCAGCTGGGGAAAACACAATAGGTCTGCAGGAGGGATTCCCCATCAACGCTGACTGCGATTTTTCTTTAATGCAACTCATGGTCATCATTGCATCATCTATAGCTGGCTCAAGTTCTGAGATTGGACATCATAAACTTACTGATTTTGCTATTATCATCATTATCAAACAAATTTAATCAGATTTCTGGAATGTCCAGCTCCCCCACCACCAGTGGCCATCTCAGAGCCAAGCTTTGGTATTCTGCTGCTGCCTTATTCTTTACAATGTAAAATAAATGGATAAAGTGAGAGTGACATAAATGAAGTAGGTGGAACTGGGAACTCTGATACTGATGTCCCTGAAGTTGGAGGGTGAGAGTGACGGAGCTCCCCAGCATCATCCCAAGCTGGAACAATCATTATCAGGCAGCATTTGCTTATAAATCGATCATAAATTGACCTAGACTGATAGTGTAGGCCAACAGTTTGTAGTCAATGATGACTAAGTGGAATTCCTTAGAGAATTGTGCCCAAACAGGCAGCACGGGATTCCTTCTTTTACCTTTGTCAGCCAGAGGAGTGCCTTCTGTGTGTCTCTTTTGTAGCGTGTTTCACTTAGCTTCTTAGGAGCCCACTAATTAGAATTAAACTGGCCATACATGTGTAGATTTCTCTCTTTCACATAGATTCCTCCATCAATGCTAAACAGCTTACATAGAGTAATAGAGTATTGAACTGTATTGTTACTGTACTGTCTCCCTCCATAATGTAAAGCGCTAAGCAAACTGTTGGCGCTATTTAAGTCCTGTATAATAACAATATTCTGCTATCTAGACTGTGTCTGTATCTGATTGGATGCAAGCACAGTTCAGCATAAGATTTTCAGACATCCTCCTTTGACAAAAGCTGATAGAATGACATTTGTAGAGTGGAGAGGTGCTGACAGGGCAAGACTCAGCTTGAATTTTGTCCAAAATTCAAACTGTGTATGATCACCCTTACTATCCACCATCCTCTTGTTTCTAGAGAATACACTTATTAGCAACTGAGACACTCTTATTGGACAAGGGAATTTTATTTGGTCTGAATTTTATGGTAGCTGGACTCCTTATTAAAGCTAGTTCCAGAGAGGCACACAGAGGAACCTTTTCTGGCTAAGTTTGCTATTAATTGTTAGTCAGGGAAGACAGATCAAACTGCATTGAGAGAGAGGAACAGTAAAGCACGAGCGCAGGGTACATTTTCTAAAGTTTAGGTAGATCCTACATACCCAGTTAGCAGATTTCTATTTATTTATTACAGGTATTTATATAGTGCTGACAATTTGTGCAGTGCTTTCCATTTATTGTACATTCACATCAGACCTTTCCCTCAAGGAACTTACAATCTAAGGTTCCTACCTCGCATGCTTAAAAATAATAAGGCCAATTGAGACAGGAGCCAATTAACCTACCAACGTGTCTTTGGAGTGTGGGAGGAAACCAGAATGTCCAAAAGATATCCACACAAGTACAGGGAGGACATACAGGGGCTTGGCAAAAACAAAACCAAACGGATTCCTCCATCCACACAAGCAAGGTGGATGGAGGAATCCTCCATATGGGGACTCTCAACTGTTCAAATACACTGATCAGCAGCTGCAGCCACTGATCGAGAAACATTTTCCTACATTCTTGTTCTATAGAAGACAATCTAATGATCAACTTTTGTCAAACAGAGATGCCCATATGCAGATCGAAATTCGATCAGTTCTTGCTAAGCCTAATTTTCGATCCATCTATGGCCAGCTTTAGTAAGTGTTGTCATTCTAGAACTGGAAGGGTTACTGGCAGGATCACCAGGTTAAAGAAGAATACCAGGTATGGATATTTTTACATAGTACGTTGGTCCAGCCTTGACCAATGTAATATCGCATTTACCATACTTGTGGTATCCCCCTGCAAACTGAAAATCACTGTATTAGGCACTGCTACCCCGGTGATCTCCTCTAGCTTCTGGGTCCAGTGCTAAGTGGCTGCATCTCCACTTCGGCCAGGTATGGTATATCCATAGTTACATTGATCCAAGCTGGACCCATATAACTGTAAAAATGCCATACCTGGAATTCTTCTTTAAAATAAAGGGGGGGGGGGGGGGAGCCTGGAAAAAAAAAACTGACAGCCTATGGCATCAAGGACTGACGAGCTGCAATATATTACATTTTTATTTTTAGGTATAGATACACTTTACCCTGCTGGTGTTTTTTGTTTTTTTTTTTACCTTGCTGGTGTTTTTTTTTTTACCTTGCTAAGGTTCAGTATTCCTTCTTGCTAATGCTATGCTCAGCACTGCTGAGTGATTGCTTTGTTGTAATGCTGTGTGTTTATTTTTTGTCTCCTTTACAGACCTGAACTCTAGAGAACAGGAAACGTGCCAACCAGTACATGTAATAAATGTTGATATTCAGGATAACCACGAAGAAGCCACATTAGGAGCCTTCTTAATTTGTGAACTTTGCCAATGTGTAAGTTTGTAAATATTAATTTGGTGTATTGTAGCACATTTCATTAAAAGTTGAAATGGCATGTACACATGGCTCTGCATAACTTTGTATCTCGTGCTGCTCTAAAATCATAGTCCTCCAAGCTGGATCATCCGCAAAGCACCCTAAAGCAGCAGCCTAGGGCCTGGTAGATGTCATTCAGCCCAGCTACAACCTTCATGCTCCTTCAGTATACCGGGGGATGGTGCAGTCAGTCAAAGCTCTGTTCCTGTCTGTCACTTCACAAAGGAGGATATGCTTGTAGGTAGTTGAAGTCTGATTTGCATTGCCAATGTGGCAATACAGGCAATTCAAATAAGGCTTCTTTGTGTATTTGCTTGCTGCTTTGCCTAGGGCTCCATTCTGCCCTAATCCCTATTCCCACTTGCAAATGCGGCTGTTTGCAATCAAATGTGAGACTGAGCAGAGGTACAGTACCCTGCAATTAGCTGGGGTGGGAAGTCCCTTTGAAAACAGTGGGAGGCTGATAGCTCCCACATCTATTCATGGCCACTAGCATGTAGTCACTTATGGAGACAGACAATCTGTATCCAGGGTCAAACATTCACAGGTAATAACTCCATAGGTGATTACATGGGAGCACCCACGAATAGCTGCAGGAGCTATTAGCTTCTCACTGTTTCCAATGGGGCTTCTCCCCCTGCAGCTAATCACAGGGAACCCCTGTATCTAATTGCAAATTATGAGTATAAGAGCTACTTCCAGTGAGCCGAGGAGTTCCACTTCCAATCAATATATGTAAACCCAAATTAGGCAGTGGAATGGCTTTTGTTGTGTACAAATTTCAACTATAAGCATCAACATACAAATAGAAAATTCCTGCAATCGGGAGAAGCAGAGAAAGAAAATAAGAGGAAAAACAGCAGCAGAAGGAAAAAAAAAATTGAGTTGGGGTGGAGGGGATCTAACCTCACTCTTCTGTTGCAAGGGCAGCACAGTATTCCTTGGAACAGATGAAGTGTCCAGTGAAATCGCGTACGCCTGAATTTCTCCCCTTTGCTGGGCATCACAGCTGTAATGCTTTCCATAGAATTAATTTCAGCTATCTTGGTAAACCACAGCGAGAGTCTAGGAGGGGAGTCCTGCCTCCAGAGTGCTAGTATGCAGGCCTTGGCTTCATTCAGCAAGTGATTCAATATTTTACTGTATTTCGGGAGGTCAGAGAGGTGTAACAGATACTTTGATGGGTCCGTAGTCCAAGTCAGTGAGCTGTTTGATAGTCCCCCCGACTTAGAATCAGAAACCCTCAAGCTTTCTACATTTCCAGAAGACAGAATAATAATGATAGAAAAGCGCCACACCTTTAAGAATAAATAAATGCAAAATATATATAGCAGCAACTCCAAACCCCCCAAACATTTTTGGGCATAAAAATGAATAAACATAGGAATGCGCTAATACTTTAAATAAACAACCAATTTAAAGTATCCATAAATTAATATGTGGAAGTCCAAACACCATAAAAATATCCCAAACTCATCATGTGAAAATCATAACACCGTGATCAATCCACCACCAGATAAATTGGATAAACTCACCAGAGCTACAGTCAGGTCCATAAATATTGGGACATCGACACAATTCTAACATTTTTGGCTCTATACACCACCACAATGGATTTGAAATGAAACGAACAAGATGTGCTTTAACTGCAGACTGTCAGCTTTAATTTGAGGGTATTTACATCCAAATCAGGTGAACGGTGTAGGAATTACAACAGTTTGCATATGTGCCTCCCACTTGTTAAGGGACCAAAAGTAATGGGACAGAATATCAATCCACCACCAGATAAATTGGATAAACTCACCAGAGCTATATGCTGATCAAATTATAGACCAGCATAAGCGCTATTGCTCTGGGAGCGATGAATGTAGCAATTTCCAGACTCTTTGATGCAATGCTCTGCAGTGGTCAGTAAAATTCCAGGTAATAGGAGGCAACACTCTGCAGTAAAGGGAAATTTCCGGACTTTAAGGAGAAACACTCTGCAGCCAATCTTTCATAAATGAACCTTTTCGTGAATCGACAATCTCCATAAGTTATGGGACCACACTCGGGACAAAGAGAAGACATGATGGTGCAGCACGTTTTTAAAACAATATTCGTTTAATACATACTCGCAACACTCACAAGATCAGGTGTCCAGACCGACACCAGCGTATATAACACAGGCAATGAATGAGCTCCGCTCACCGCGGATCACCTTCGACAATCACAAGGAGCGTACTGACGTCAAACATCCAGTTGGCTACGCCCTGCGCGTTTCATCACCGCAACATCCCCGTGAGGACATTGTGGTGACTAAATGCGTAGGGTGTGGCCAGCTGGATGTTTGACGTCAGTACGCTCCTTGTGATTGTCGGAGGGGATCCGCGGTGAGCGGAGCTCATTCATTGCCTGTGTTATATACGCTGGTGTAGGTCTGGACACCTGATTTTGTGAGTGTTATGAGTATGTATTAAACGAATATTGTTTTAAAAATGTGCTGCACCATCATGTCTTCTCTTTGTCCCTGAGTGTGGTCCCATAACTTAGGGAGATTGGTGATTCACGAAAAGGTTCATCTATGAAAGATTGGCTGCAGAGTGTTTCTCCTTAAAGTCCGGATATTGCCTATACTGCAGAGTGTTGCCTCCTATTACCTGGAAATTTACTTACCACTGCAGAGCATTGCATCAAAGAGTCTGGAAATTGCTACTTTCATCGCTCCCAGAGCAATAGCGCTTATGCTTGTCTATAATTTGATCAGCATATACAGTCAGGTCCATAAATATTGGGACATCGACACAATTCTAACATTTTTGGCTCTATACACCACCACAATGGATTTGAAATGAAACAAACAAGATGTGCTTTTACTGCAGACTCTCAGCTTTAATTTGAGGGTATTTACATCCAAATCAGGTAAACGGTGTAGGAATTACAACAGTTTGCATATGTGCCTCCCACTTGTTAAGGGACCAAAAGTAATGGGACAATTGGCTTCCCAGCTGTTCTATGGCCAGGTGTGTGTTATTCCCTCATTATCCCAATTACAACGAGCAGATAAAAGGTCCAGAGTTAATTTCAAGTGTGCTATTTGCATTTGGAATCTGTTGCTGTCAACTCTCAAGATGAGATCCAAAGAGCTGTCACTATCAGTGAAGCAAGCCATCATTAGGCTGAAAAAACAAAACAAACCCATCAGAGAGATAGCAAAAACATTAGGCGTGGCCAAAACAACTGTTTGGAACATTCTTAAAAAGAAGGAAAGCACCGGTGAGCTCAGTAACACCAAAAGACCCGGAAGACCATGGAAAAAAAAAACTGTGGTGGATGACCGAAGAATTCTTTCCCTGGTGAAGAAAACGCCCTTCACAACAGTTGGCCAGATCAAGAACACTCTCCAGGAGGTAGGTGTATGTGTGTCAAAGTCAACAATCAAGAGAAGACTTCACCAGAGTGAATACAGAGGGTTCACCACAAGATGTAAACCATTGTTGAGCCTCAAAAACAGGAAGGCCAGATTAGAGTTTGCCAAACGACATCTAAAAAAGCCTTCACAGTTCTGGAACAACATCCTATGGACAGATGAGACCAAGATCGACTTGTACCAGAGTGATGGGAAGAGAAGAGTATGGAGAAGAAAAGGAACTGCTCATGATCCTAAGCATACCACCTCATCAGTGAAGCATGGTGTGGTAGTGTCATGGCGTGGGCATGTATGGCTGCCAATGGAACTGGTTCTCTTGTATTTATTGATGATGTGACTGCTGACAAAAGCAGCAGGATGAATTCTGAAGTGTTTCGGGAATATTATCTGCTCATATTCAGCCAAATGCTTCACAACTCATTGGACGCAGCTTCACAGTGCAGATGGACAATGACCCAAAGCATACTGCAAAAGCAACCAAAGCGTTTTTTTAAGGGAAAAAAGTGGAATGTTATGCAATGGCCAAGTCAATCACCTGACCTGAGTCTGAATGAGCATGCATTTCACTTTCTGAAGACAAAACTGAAGGGAAAATTCCCCAAGAACAAGCAGGAACTGAAGACAGTTGCAGTAGAGGCCTGGCAGAGCATCACGCAGGATGAAACCCAGCGTCTGGTGATGTGTATGCGTTCCAGACTTTAGGCTGTAATTGACTGCAAAGGATTTGCAACCAAGTATTAAAAAGTGAAAGTTTGATTTATGATTATTCTGTCCCATTACTTTTGGTCCCTTAACAAGTGGGAGGCACATATGCAAACTGTTGTAAAACCTACACCGTTCACCTGATTTGGATGTAAATACCCTCAAATTAAAGCTGACAGTCTGTAGTTAAAGCACATCTTGTTCGTTTCATTTCAAATCCATTGTGGTGGTGTATAGAGCCAAAAATGTTAGAATTATGTCGATGTCCCAATATTTATGGACCTGACTGTAGCTCTGGTGAGTTTATCCAATTTATCTGGTGGTGGATTGATCACGGTGTTATGATTTTCACATGATGAGTTTGGGATATTTTTATGGTGTTTGGACTTCCACATATTAATTTATGGATACTTTAAATTGGTTGTTTATTTAAACTATTAGCGCATTCCTATGTTTATTCATGTCCAGAAGACAGGCTCAGTTTCTTAGTTCAGAATACAGAATGGCACACAATACGTGGTAGGTTAACTGGATCATGTCCATAAATTGGACTTAGTATTGGTATGTACTGTATGCATGTGAGATAGGGACCTTAGATTGTAAGCTTGAGGGCAGGGACTGGTTTATATAGCGCTTAAATTGTCAGCGCTATATAAATGTCTGTAGTAATAATTCATAATTGGTTGCTGTGGGAAGCTGCTATACCTTCCCCCCAGGTTCTGGTTTAATAAATTAGTGACAGTGTAAATCACAAACAATCAAACCCAGCATAGCATAAAACGAATGCTTTGACGTTTCAGTCGTAGAGAGAAAGCATAGTGTATTTTCAGTTCTGATTTCTAATACGTCTTACATTTTTTTAGCATGCATGTTTATGTTGTTGATTTAGATAGATAGCAATTTCTAGATTAGCCAGTAGGTGGAATTCAGTGTCTTAGTGCAAAGCCTTTCCCATGATCACTCTCTTGCTTGTGCTCGCTCTCGTGCAAGCTATCTCTCTCGCACATGTGGTTGATCTGTCGTCCAATCGAGGTATAGGTGCAGAAGTGACACCCTTGAATTCCATTATAAAACGGTGTCACCCTCCAGGTTGTGCTGTCTGGTAGAGCGGTATTAATAAAAAAATCAGCTGCACAGAATTGGTAATGCAATGGCAGATAAAACTGTAAATATGTATTTTAAATCTGTAAATCTCAGCTTGCCTGGCTTCAATCCTGGATAAATCCATCACAGACCCTTTTTTGGATGAGCCTAATTGTGGTGTTGCAGTAACTGCAAGTATTTGCTTCCCCGGGAAGTAATGATTACAAACACAACTATTCCAATGCATCTGAGGAATCTGTGAATATTTATTTATATTGATATTGTATTTTCATGCACACTTCTTACTAAGTATCCCCATCTCCTAATATTACAGATACAACATACAGAAGATATGGAGAATGAAATTGACGAACTATTACAAGATTTTGAAGACAAAAGTGGCCGAACCTTCCTTCATACTGTCTGCTTTTATTGATGCAAGTCCAGCCAAGCCTTATTCTATCTACAATATATCATTGTATTTCTGAAAAACAAAACTTTACAAAAAAAAAACCCTTTTTTTGTTTCATTTTGGTTTTGTTTCCACCCTCTTGTGTTTCTCCTGCAAAGTGTTTTCCTTCAGGTATTTTGTCCAAAACAAGCAGGGATGTACAAATGTTTGTGTGTATATATGGAAAAGAAAATATAGACTGAAAGACTTATATCAAAAAAGAAGAAAACAGAATTTCTTATGATTGTGCTGCATAAGTATTATTTTAACCCTTTTTTTTTGTTTTTTGTTTTTTTTTTTTTTTTAAAAAGTGAGCTTTCTGTCTGAAGAAAGATTTTTGTTTTGGTGCTAGTTACATTTAGACTCCTTGCTGTCAGAGGGTAACAGCACACTGTTAGGTCTGTGGTCAGCTCCGCTAATAGCACTGATGGAGAACTTCAGGCAAAACACTCATTTAAGAAAGACGATCAGTAGGAATAACAGATTTTTGTGTCTGCTTTTGCTTTATGAATACACAGAGAAGGTAACGTCCTACATCAGATTTTGGCATGCTATAGCTTAAAGGGCTGCTTGTGAAATGAGAAATTCTGAGTATATTTGGGACAACACATATCTGCTGTTAGTTTGGCCCTCAACATACACTATCTAGCCAAAAGTTTGTGGACAAGATTTTGAAGTGCGCCTGTGAGAATTTGTGCCTATTCAGCCAAAAGAGCATTTGTAGGGTCAGGTACTGATGTTAGATGAAAAGACTCTGCGTTCCAATACATCCCAGAGGTGTTCAGTGTGGTTGAGGTCAGAGTCCTGTGCAGGTCACTTGAGTTCCTTGTCACCAAATTAATCAAACTGTGTTAATGGAGCAAGCTTTGTACACAGGGGAACAGTCTTGGTGGAACAGAAAAGGATCTTACCCTAATTGTTACCACAAAGCTGTATAGAATGTCTTTGTATGCTGTAGCATCAGAGAACATTTCCTTGGAAATGCCTGAACCATATAGTAGATATGATGGTCAGGTGTCAACAGACTTTTACTTTTGGTCATATGGTGTATGTAGTAATCTTGTATGCTATATGATTTTGAACAAACTAGACACACCCCAAAACAGTGCTAATATTTAGTATGCTAGCTGGGAAGTGGAGCTGCTGGAGTTTAGTAGCATTTTTTTTTTTTTTTTTTTTAATGCCAGTGGTTTCTCACAAAAGGAGATAAGAAAAAAAAATTGTTATTGAGTTGATGATTGCTCCATGATCTTATTGTGAAAGACAACAGGAGCCACTAATCCTTACATAAATGCTCTCTGACAAACTTGTGTGACTTTGCCCTAACTCCAGTTTAAGGATTTCTGGAGCTAATGCCTGGTACACACTATAAGTTTTTTTTTTTTTTTTTGGAACGAAAAAAGCCCTCAGAGATTGCTGTACTAACACAAGCAAAGTTAGTACAGCGATCTCCCCCACTGTGTTGTGTTCTGACAGAGGGACTGCCCCTCTTCCAGAACAAACAACTCGCAGTCATTGGGTGAGAGCACTGATCAGAATCCGATTGGGTGCTGGTTTTCCAGCATGTCCATTTGACAGATCTGATCGTGAGACTGGCTTCTGTTGGACAGGGAGCTGTACACATGGTCGGTTTCAACTGTACTGGTTGATTTTGAACAATATTCGGCCCGTGTGTACCTGGCTTAATAGATAAAACTATGACGATAGTTGTGATCTGATATTATGAAAATTATTTTTATCGGTGGATGCTTTTATTTTATTTGTGTGTGCTGACTGAAGTTCTCATTCAAGTAGCTTATGGCGGATTACAAATATGAATGCTAATATCTGTAATATACTAGTTAATAAATTGAAAAGGTATTCAAAAGATGGTGTCATAAGTCTTTTTTTTTTTTTTTTTTGTTTACTCTGATGTCTAGTTGCATCTGTGCTTAAAGGCATTATAAACCTTCTTACCTGCATCTTGTGTTTTTCACCGGCATAAGATGTGCATTGATCATGCACTGCAGTTTCATGGTGTCATTTGTTGCTCTGTACGCATAGCCTATAGAAGAAAAACTGTTCAGATGATTCTGAATGTAAAAAAAGAAACAGATTCTTCCATCCACATAAACAAGGTGGATAAAGGAATTTCTACCCCCCACCAGGACATTGTATTCTGACAAGGGGACTCTGTCCCTTTGGCAAATAGGAACAAGTAAAGTGAATGAATGGACATAGGGGAATTGACCATCCATGACACTACAAACTGCAGCCGCAACATGTGAGTCTATCATTACACAGTAAGGCAAATATGGGACACAGAATATAACTACACCAAAACCTGGTTAAAACAAAAAAACATTTAAAAGTGTACAATGCCTTTTTATAGCAAATTATTAAAGCAACTAGCATCCAACCACACTCCATTCCTTACTCTGTACTGGGCACTCATTTATATCTTGAAGACTCTTAGTATGCCATTGAGCTGAGCATTTGACCATTAGGAATTCCTACACTAGTTAATGTTGAATATTGCCATTACTCCCCTATTGTGCTGGATTCCATTGAAAGGTTTAACATGTTGAGGAATTACATGCTACATCATTAGATTGAGAGTCCGCACTCCCTGCTCTGTTCCTGACCAATTTGTCCCGTCCAGCATGAGGTAGATTCTTCTTTCCATTGCTCCTAACTGCAAGAGGCAAGTAGTTCACACCTCATGTTGGTGCCTACAGTGACCTGGTCACAATTGACCATTGATCTTCTCTGCTTAAGCATTTGTCTTTTGAGTAAAGAAAGTTTATACCTGGTGTTTTCTTTGGGTTGTGCCTATTACCACAGTGCAACACATCAGATCCCAAGTACCAGGGGAACAGGACACTCCAGCTCATGATCCACTAACTGTTCTAGGGTGGCCTGCAGCGTTTCTCCTAAGGAACCTGACACTCACAGCCTGGACTGTTGTCCATCTTGTCCACTGCTCAAGTCAACTCACTCCTCAGAGTCTTCCATAGCTCTGTTCTGGTGTGGCCCCATATTCTGTCTTATCCAGGAAAGAGTTATCTGCAGCTATGCTAGATTTTATGGGCCAACTTGCAAATATGATTGCTGACCCTGACCAAAGAAGCTGTAAGCGTTGTTCTATGCAGACTTCAGAATCTTTGACATTCCTGCAACTATAGCAGCCTCCATGCCTTCTGCTGTGAATGTAGTCCGAAGACGTGTCTAACAGGTATGTATTGGATGACTGTTCCTGACAAGCCTCAGTCAGCTGAAATAGATCCCAGGCTAAAAGTTACCATATCTGTTTTTATTAATGCGGTGTGAGTTTCATGTAGAATAGAAAAACCTGTAGCTTCTGCCACTGCTGTTACCATTCTGGGATCCCTGAAAGGACCCATGACTATCAAAACTTTTCTGGTATACTCAACCTGCTTTGTACAGAGACTGGGCCAGTCCTAACAAATTATTTATTCCTCTCAAATGCTTCGCAGATACATATCCATTTGTGTTTTTCCTTAAAAAGTGGCCTGACCCTAGTATGGATCCGGCAATATCCCAACTTAATAAATCGCTGACTGTACCTATTGAGCATGCTTCAATGTTTAAGGATCCCACTGACAAACATTTGGAATCCATTTCCTAATCATTATTTTTAACTAGCAGGCCCTGCTGTAGCTGTGATGTCTGTTTGTCAGACCTTAGGGAAGTAGACTCAGCTGATCTCAAAGGATTCAGCTACAGTCCATACTGACTCACTAGTTGTAGAGCTATTAGAGGGGTTTTTTTTAACTGCATTAGCAAGCTACAGTTCATACTGACTCTTTAGTTATAAAGTGCATAGAGCTTTTTACTGCATTATCAAGCTACAGTTCATACTGGCTCTTTAGTTGTAGAGCGCTTAGAGCCTACATTATTGTGTTGAAGGTCTAGTTAACTGTTATCTATTATCTGTCTTATGTTTTATGTGCCTTTTGATTGTGAACATCTTTTTAATGCTTCCCACGGCTATTTCAAAAGACATCACTAGCGGTAAGAGTACTTAAAAAACCAGCAGAAGAAGCTGAAACTTTAAACTGGCAAATCTTGTACCACCTCTGAGGCTAAAATGAGTTCCTTCTGTTTCTCCTAGACTTTTCATTCCAAAGCCAAGCCTAAGGGAGGAGCCAGTACAACCACATACCCTGGTTCTCCATGTCAGTAGACAAGCTCCCTTCTCATCCCGGATGCCTGGATAAGTGACCCAGTTGTTAATTTACTAAAATCAAATAGACTGCGCTTTGCGGGTACAGCTGGGCTTATATTTCCCAGAGCTTAGTGAATGTGTTAAAGCTCTGCTGATTTCCATCATCCAGTTATGTGCAACCAAAAATTAGTTTGTTTTTTTTTTTTGTTTGTTTGTTTGTTTTACTAGCACCTGATCTGGTATTCTTTACAAAATAAAGCTTCACCACATTCACTACGCTCTGGGGAAAATGAATGCAACTAAACCTTGCAAAGTGCAGTCTATTTGCCTGTAGTAAATCAACCCCCTAGTGTCCAGGGGCTACAAGCTACAATTCATTCTCTACTTCTGCTCTGTTTAATTTTATCCAATCTACCTGTGTCTCTCTAAAGGATAGCAGACCTCTATTCTGCTCTTGCAGACCTTTTAAATCAAGGACTTATTGCAATTGTATCTAGAGAGGAAAGGTTTCAGGGTTTTTTTACTCCCTTTTCATTGTTCCAAAACGAAAATGAGGTATTCACCTCATCTTGAACTTGAAGGAATGTCTTAATTCGAGTCCAAAAGTTCCGCATGGAAAACACCACCCATGTAATAGCCTTCCTTCACCAGGAAGACTTTCTGGTTTTGGTGGGCCTACAAACTTCTGTGTCCCCATGTCTTCTGTGTATCAATGTTATTTCAGGGTTTTTTTTTTTTCCTGTGGGAACTCAACACTACCAGTTTGTTGCCCTACAATTTGGTCTATCATCCACACCTCCAGTGTACACCAGGTATC